TGTCTGGCGAGCGCACGCGCCCTATAGCAAAAAAAAAACTCTCAAAAAAAAAAAGAAATAATAACAAATAAAATTAAATAAACATTTTTAAAAATTAAAACATAATAATACATAAAGAAGAAAGTTAAGTATACTAATTCTTAATTAGAAGTTTAGTTAAGGGGAGCCAGCAGATTGCATAGTGGTTAAGGCTCGGGAATCCCACATGGCTGACTGCAGTTTGATTCCTGGATTTGGCAGCTTGAAACTCATATCAGAGATACATGCATCCATGCCAAAAATTCTGAGAGGAGAATGGAGAGAGGATTGTAGTGTCCCAATTACCAAGGGGGTGATTTTTCTCTTTCTCTGTCTTTCCCTCTTTCTCTGGTGAGCACATACACCCTAGAACCAAAATCTCTGTCTGAAAAAAAATAGAGGCCTAGGTAATATCTAAAGGATAAACAGTGATGAACTATTAAATGCCAGTTTTCTCTAAAGTGGAGAGAAAAAGTGACATATAATCAGAACAGCTCATAACATACATGGTTATGACTACTGATTTCCTTTCTGCTCAGACCCCAGAGTCTGTGTGTAGTCACAGCTGTGTTCCTGGATTCTGGAAAATTCCTCAAGAAGGAAGACCTGTTTGCTGTTTTATTTGTGCTTCTTGCCCAGACTCAGCAATTTCAAATCAAACAAGTATGAAATATATAACTACATTCTCAGTCCCTATATTGCCCAATAAAAATGAAACTATTACTATTAGAAATAAAACATAGGGGTGAGCAGGTAGCATGGTGGTTAAGGCATTGTCTCCTGTGGCCAACCTCAGTTCAATTCCCAACTCAGAAACTTGAAAGTCATGTCAGGTGCATGTACATGTGTGTGCGGAAAATCTTAAAAGAAGAGACTGTGGCATGGCCATACCTCTGAAGGGTGATTTCTCACTTTCTGTCTGTCTCTCTGGTAAGCACACGTGCTTTATAGCAAAAATCTCCTTAAAAATAAATTAAGAAATTAAACACGAAGCACCACAGTACTTAATTCACATAATTATTGTTTTGCTATATGTATTTTATAAACAATTCCCTACCCTATTTTATGTAAGCTTTTTCCTGTTCATATTCATTCTATTAGGCTAAACTGTGAAAATATTTCCAATGAATACCCTTGCAGTTTGGTGCTGGGTAAGATAGAGTTAATTTTGGTTCTCACACTGGACCACACTAGTCATAAATAGGAGGATGTGTAATTATCTAGGTTACCCGTGGGTGCCTCAAAGGTTGAATCTGATTTTGAGACCCAGATGATAAGCACAAAAGAATTCCAGATAAACAATTATAAGAATATTTTACAACTTTTAACCATACTCAAGAACCTGTGCAATTAAATAAAAAGAATTGACTAATATCAGAATACCACACTTTGATATATATTTCAGGAAGAAAAAGAATCATAGTTTACAAATTGAGGACTCAACATTATAGTAAAGTTTACAATTGGGCACAGAATATGCTCTCATACAGAATATAAAATCAAGCAATTATCATAATAAAATCCTGTATTATCAAATATAAAATATGGAAAATTATAAGAATCATGTTTCCATTTTTTATATATAAGGAATAAATATAGTTTTAATTGTTACACAAGTACTATGCAATTTCAGACATTTTAACAGTAGAAAACATTTGAATTTCATTGCTAGTAAAAGTAAATGTATATGTTCAGGTAAGAATATGCCAAGAAAAAAATATTACTTGTCTTTTTTTTTTTTTTTGGAGAGGTTTTTGCTATAGGGTGCGTGCGCTCGCCAGACAGACAGAGAGAGACAGAGAGATAGAAAGCGAGAAATCACCCCCCAGAGGGGATGGCCATGCCACAATCCCTTCTCCTCCATTCTCCTCTTGGGATCTTGGGCACACACGCACACACGCCCGGCATGAGTTTAAGTCCCCAGGTCCGGGACTCGAACCACGGTCGGCTATGTGGGAGTCCAGTGACATAGCCATTACGCTAACTGCTGGTCCCACTGCTTGTCTTTTATGAAGGAATTGCAAAGCCAAATAAGTGTGCAAAACAAGAAATAAAAATAGAGGTATAGGGCTTGCCCATGGCATGGTAGTTAATGTGGCTGAATCCCACATGAGCGAAATTGTGACTTGAGTCCCAAATCAGATGACTTGGAAAACACACAAAGAATTTTTGTGTTTCACAAAATCCCAATAAGAGGAAAAAATGGTGCAGAGGTTATTGCGACATAAACATTTCACGGAGATGGTGCTGTCTCACTTCCTCATTTTCTCTGTGTCTCTCTCTAGTGAATGCATGTGCCCTCTGGCAATGGGGTCAGCAAGAGGCATGTTTGTTTAGATACTGGGCTCCCATGTGACCAATTATGGTACAAGTGCCAGACCTGGTGACTCACTTTCTCATTTTCCCTCTCTCTCTGTCTCTGTCTCTATCTGGTAAGCACA